GTAGCGAAGTCACTCTTTTAAGCTGCCAGATTTTAAACCCTTTAACAGAATGGAGATGTGAACAGGAAAAGGGTGGAAAATCCAATCCCAGTCTCTCGACAAGGGAATTTCTTTCCAGGCCTTTTTTTTTAAAAAAAAAATAAATAAATTCTGTCCAAGCTTATTTAGCACAAAAGGAAAACGAATGAAAGCATATGTTGCAGCCTGGTAGAGCCCGTCTTCTATTCTTCTCTCACACTAAAGACTGGAGAAACAAAAGTTTGTTCTAAATATATGTGTTCTTTAATTTTCTTGCACATGGAACAATCCAATCTTTATCTCTCCTAAATTACGGCATTTCACATGGTATTATTTCTAAAACACACCCTTGGAATTGATCTTTTTGCTTTCTAATTTTTCCGTAGCAACAAATGAGTAACGAAACATTGGCATTTTTGTTTATATTTTTACATAACTGCAAATGAGTAAGGAAGAAATAAGAAATGGTCCAATGAAATTTTTGTCTAAAAAGTTCTTAAACGGAACCTAAAGCAACAGTGCGCATAGTCAGTGTAGTTATTAAGGGACAAACATGATATAAGATTTATATAAAGTAATTATTGAATCCTCAATTAATTATTTAAATTCTAGAATTAAAATATTTCTTAAACATGGTCATGAGTTTGTATTTTATCTACTCCATTCTTCAAAATAAATAATTAACTGAATTAAAAAAAATATCATAAGGTGGTTCTCATATGCAAATTTTAAGTTTAAAAAACGTTTATTCATAAAAGTGTGTTGGAAAAAGAATTAATAAAAAAAATCACTGCTGAAGCTCTTAAGATATTTATGGGTATAATTGGGTGCCTTGATTATTTCCCAACACCATATGTGGCTTCCGTGCTATACTGCTATGTAGGCTTTAATGGTGAGAAAATTTTATAGGATTCGGAAAGTAGCTATATATGTATATATAAAAGCCTATGTCATGACGAGTAAGATACATTCGATGAAGATAGTGAAAGTGAAAAAAAAAAATAATGAAGAAAGTATTGATAATTACCTAAAGAATAATATATAATTTCTTCTTATTCGTGAAACGTATTATATGGCAAAAAGAAATGAGCCATTAAATTCTTCAAATGACTGTAAGTGAGTTTTTCATGCGAGTTAGAGTTGATAGAAGGAAGTCGGCAGAGAAGAGGAGAGAGGTTTGCCAAAGGTAAAACCAACGGCAGCTTTGTAATTATGTTTTTGGATGTTAGAGGTCGACAATATATGCATTTATCTTTCAAAACGACCATTGATCAGCTTTAGACGACAAAATTTGCTCCACCTCCAAGTAAAGCTAAAATACTTGTTCCAAAATTGCAGCTACTTCAATATCAAGCTATATATAGCTTTTCTAGAGTCTTCGTTGTAATATTATATAATCGTATCCTATTGTTCATGTGCGCTAATTAATGGAGTAGAAAAGTACTGTTAGCAATGTCCAAAACTGTTAACAATGATGCCCGTTCTGCTTCCTCTAAAAATTGTGAGTGGCTGATACAGATAAAGAATGCTGGGACGCAAGAGACCACTACTCATGATGACAACCAACGGAAAGGGCCAGATTTCCAAAGGGTTCCACAAACCTTTCGTAGTATTCAACAAAACAGCTATTGTTACGATCCATCGGTGGTCTCCATTGGTCCCTATCACCATGGGAAGGAAAAACTAGAGGAAATGGAGAAGCTCAAGGTGACATACGCTCGCGAGTTCGTCAAAGATACTGAAAAACCCCTTGATGAAACATACACAGAGGTGGACGCAATGCTAAGCATTGCAAAAAATCGCTATCCAGAAGAAGCAAGAAGAGGTTTCAACGATGAGCGATTAGCCAAGATGATGTTTATTGATGGCTGCTTCATTCTTCAATTCCTCTTCTGCCTCCATAAGCCTGGAAATCTGAAGATGAGTAGTCACGATGCTGCTTTGGTAACAAAGGACTTGTTCTTACTCGAGAACCAACTCCCTTTTGAAGTTCTCAACAAACTGATGAGTTTCAGAAACCTGGATCACAAAGCTTGGATGAAAATTCTTACAGATTTCTGCGATCAAGTTCGTGCCTTTCCTGCTGGAACAGAGCTGAAGGAAAAGATGACAAAAATTTTTCGTGGATTGCAAAAATCATTAACGATACGGAATCCCCAAGGTATCGCACGTGATCAGCCTGCACCTGCAGCCCATCTTCTGGAACTTTTACATAAGCAGTTTTGCCCTGGAACGATTTTATCAGAAAACTCTGAGAAGAGTTCGTGCAAGAACAATTCTCAAAAGAACTGGTACCGTTATTATCCCGCTGAGGAGCTTAGGAACATTGGCATCCATTTCAAGCCAAGCAAGACTGCTCTATTCACCGATGTCCAGTTCAAACGGAGATGGCTGATCACCCGAAGTCTCTATATTCCTCCATTAAGAATAGATAGCTCTACCAAGTCCTTGCTTTTAAACTTGGTGGCCTATGAAGCATGCCTTGGTGCTTCCAATGAATCTCGGGTCACTTCTTACGTATGCTTCATGGATTCACTGATTGATACCCCTAGAGACGTGCAGGTGCTGCGATCGAAGGGCATACTACTCAACACTCTAGGAAGTGATGAACAAGCCGCAGAACTCTTCAACCAGATTGCCAGCCATTTGATACCCGATCCTTATGCTTACATTCAGGTTAAGTCCAGCATTGAAAAGGAGCATAGGAAAGTCATAAGGAAATGGGTAGCCATGTGGCTGCGACTTTATTTTAATAGTCCATGGACATTTATTGCATTTGTTGCTGCAACTTTCACCATCATACTAACTGCCATTCAGACCTATATGGCACTATTCCCTCTCAAGGATCGGTGATAGCTCCAAGTGCAAACCCTGAGTTTCCATGTGCTAAAGGTATCAGTTTCCGGAATAATGTGTGTTCTTGTTAGATTTCTTGCTGTTAAGAGTGTGAATTACTTTTCCATCAAACTTGAATTGAGCTATTGTCTCATTTGGTTATGAGATTATATTAGAATGTTTTTCACTTGATAAATTTGGCTTGTATTCCATTTATGATCTATCTTAATAAAATCAAGACTTTCTTTTCAACTCTAATTCTCATGATGTTGTTGCTTATGTTGAATTCAAGGTACAAGAAAAAATGAAATCAAAAGTTAAATTATAATTTTAAAAGAAATTGGGATCAAAGTTCAAAAGAAATTTAGAATTTAAGGATCAAAATATAAGGAATGGAAGTTTGAAAAGGTATACTTTGGAACTTTGTTTCAAACATTAGGTTGAAGCACTGACAAAATGTTCTGAACATCCAAGTAACATAGAGACCATGTTGTAAAAGAAAAAGGTTTGCAGGAACATCAACTTCTTTGGCAGCGATTAAGAAGTAGCTCAACTCTTGAACACGATAGGCGGAATGCGTTTGTTAACGAGCAGCGCACCTTGTTAACAAACATAGACACGCCTGAACCCGGACTTGTATGGGTTGTCAAGAGTTAAACGAATAGGCAATCCAAGGTCTGTTAGTAGTGAAACTATGTCCTGAGTGATTCAGGGCCTAGAGAACTATTGCAGACACCCATCAACTTTCCTTGCTGTAATTGGTGCAACGCTGGGATTTTTCTTGGGTTCCATTCAGACTTCCTCCGCTGTAAAGTCTTATAACCATACAGAGAAGCCATAATTTTGGCATAGGTCCTTTCTGGAGCCCAGCAAGCATTTGATTATATTGTCATCGTTGTATTAGCAAATGTTTGTAGTAAGTGGGTGTTTCATTCGTGGTACCTGTCTGGCTCTGTGAACCAATCGTGTATATCTGAAGATCGATCGATTTCTCAAAGTGATGATGTTCTTTCCTGTTATTTATCAATAACAAATTAAAGCAATTATATGTAACCGGGTTTA